CGTTTTTAGCCGAAAAAAACGACATAGTATTGTAAGGCGATTTTAGCACGAAAAAAACGACCATGTTTAGTAAGGCATTTTAGCTGAAAAAAACGATACAGTATAGTAAGGCGTTTTTAGCACGAAAAAAACGACATAGTATAGTATGCCATTTTTTAGCCGAAAAAAACGACATAGTATAGTAAGGCGTTTTTAGCCGAAAAAAATGGCATAGTATAGTAAGACGTTTTTAGCACGAAAAAAAACTACCATGTATAGTAAAGCATTTTTAGCCGAAAAAAACGACACAGCAAAGTAAGGCGTTTTTAGCCGAAAAAAACGACCATGTATAGTCAGGCGTTTTTACAGCCCACAACACGACCATGTATCGTAAGGTGTTTTTTTATTTTTTCAAACCTGACCAAAACATCGTTTCATTCAAGATAAAGACGTTTACTTTTTTTTCCCCCTTCCAATACTGTACCCACACCTGTCGAGGTTGAGTTTGTGGGCCAGCATCCTCCAGTCGTTGCCGCGGGTCTGCGGCGCATCCAGGCTGCCGCACAGCTTCTGGCGGATGGAGACGGGGATGCGGAAGGCGTTGGGTCCCACCAGCGTGGTGATGTTGCTGGCCGGGTCCAGCAGTGACGTGTCGATGCTTTGCGAATCCTGCGAGGCACAACACGGAATGCAACAGTGTCAATAAAGTGTCTTTGAGCTGTTGGAGTGTCTTGTCACACACTTGGGAGTATTTAAAAAAAAACATACACACACACATTGACAGTTGACAATGTAATGTTAATGGTTAATGGTTGACCCAACATGTCATTTTTGCGGTCTCCCGAAAAGTGATGATTCTGAACACCTGATGGTTCCCCCCCGACGCCGGCAATGTGTATTATTTTTCGATATTAATTTCCACATTTTTTTTTCCGCATTGAAGTACGCTGCCCACCTCTGATAATGTCGTGTCCAGCTGAAAGATCTGACCTTCCCCCTCTACTTGGCGCACGCAAATCTTGCAGGTGAGGTCCACGGTGGCGGTGGAGAAGCGCTCCAGAGTGAAGCAGCAGTGGAGGTTCCTCTGGGAGCCATCCCAGACTTGCTGGAAACAGAGCTCCTGCAAAAACAAACAAACAAACAAACCTTACCTTTCCGAGAATCCTGGAAATGATAATTAAAACTTGACGCCACGAAGTAGGCAAAAGGGCTTGGCAAATTAGCATCCCCCACATTTTTGGTTCCAAGCTTTCAATTGGGGATCATTTGGACAAATGTCCTTGTGCAGTAAACTCCGAGCCCTGGAATTTGCACAAAATGGCCGCTTCAAACCAAAATGGCCGACTTGCTGTTTAATTTGAGACTTTTTCATATGTTCTGTTATGACTCACACGTCCACCCAATTTCCTGATCATTGGAATAACTCTTTACAAATTTCCAGAGGGCGCTATTGAGTTAGTTGTGGGTTGGCGTGCTTGAAACCACCAAACTAAGAACATCCACTTGTCAAAATGAGTTTTCATACCTTATTCACTCCCTCAATTCATGGGGGGGAAAAATATACAAAACGTAATCAAGCCCTTTGATCAAAATAAATCAACATTTTTTTTTTTTTTTTTTTTTTGCACCTGATATTTGGCCAGCAGCTTGCTCTTCCACAGTGTGTGAGGGACGTCGTGGATTGAAAGTCTCAGGTTGTGTGTGCTGTCGCTGAAGTTGAGCGTCTTTGGTTCGTCTAGCAACTTCCCGCCCATTTGTTTCTCCATTTGGAGGACTTCCTGAAATTCCGCAAAAACACACACAAACTCAGCAACACAGAGTGAAAAAACAAAAACGTGCAACGCTCACACAACCTTGAGCGCGTCCTGCGTGTCGTCCAGGCAGTAGACACGAATGTGGTACTCGGCGGCGGCGCACGTGAGCGGCCCGAAGATGGCCAGCTTGAGGCGCTTGTTGGTGGCCGCGCTGAGCGATTGGCCCACCAGGCAGTACGTGCCAAGAGTCTCGGTAAGGATGTGGCACGCCTCGTCGTCCATCTGGATGTAGCACGGCGTGGTGAAGTTCTCCTCGCCCACCACCACCACGTCCTGACAAGGAGATGACAAGTCGGCGTATCGTGAAGGGGAGAAAGTTGCATATTGGAACGGTGTGATTTAAAAAAGTCAAATCTTGGCCCAGTTGTTTTTTTTTTCGCTGAGCGAGATAGCAGCACGATGTTCAGGATTGACGTCTCTAAAAGCCAGAAGATAGTTAAACCTGACTAAGACCGTCTCTTGGTAAAGGAAGTGCCCATTTCCATTTCTTTTTCTTGATCTTTCCACACTCTCCGTATAATCCGTGCGAACAGCAGCGCGGCATTAAATCAGACTATTACCGGAGACGGAACAGAAATTGAAGGATTGGGTTTGTGAGTCGGGGCCGTTTAAGCGGCGCATTAGCGGCGATCATTCGGCTGTTAAACTGCTCTGGGACGCGAACCGCGATCGTTCATTCGAGCTGGCGGAACAGTAAAATAAAAGCACTAAAGTTCAAATCTTCCTTTGTTGTATGACTAAATCATCAGCACAGAGTGTGTGTGTGTGTGTGTGTGTGTGTGTGTGTGTGTGTGTGTGTGTGTGTGTGCGCGCGCGCAAATAATTTAGGATTATTTACCATATTACTTAGCAATATGAAAGCTGTGATGCTATTTTCTTCACAGTATACATTCACCAGCGGCAAAAAAAATACTACCAATAAAAACACACAATCAAAGAAAATGATCATAAAAAGCAAATTTAAAGGAAACAAATCGGTAAAAACGATATCGGAAAAATTTCTTCATCAATTGATATGAAATCTCAGCGTATGATACAGATTTGCAAATTGGGTCTTCTGCGGAGTCCGTTTGACAGCCGCATTTTTTTTTTTTTGACAGTCACTATTAATTGGAGCAATATTTCACGGTGCCTCAACGGGAAGAAAAAGAGCTCATAAAGTCAGGACGTTGCCGCCGCATTGGGCTCGCATCCGCATTTCCGACAGGTCCGAGATTTGATCAATGCTTATGACTTCCTTCAAGAATCCTGGCTCGCTCCAGGTAATTCATCTGTGTCAGAGGCGGGCTGACACCTCCCCCCCGTAAACTCGCACAGCAGCGGCTGCGCCGGCAAATGCGCCGAGACTTGAGCATCGTACGAGACACGGTTCAATGGCGAGCTGACAGAAGCAATATAGTCAATGGGAAAAGCCGCGCATTCGGTATACGTGGTTGTATCGGCAGTGCTAAAACGTCCGCAGCGAGCCCTTGTTTATCACCCCCATCGAAACAAATGGAAATGCCATGAATCAGTACCTCCCAAATGCTCTGCGGCGATTGGCTCTTGAGCTGGATCAACCAATCCTGTTGGCCGTCCGAGACGGCGCAATGGTGCATGGTGAGTACCAGGGGCCGCGTCAAAAGGGCTCCCGGCGGGCCGCAGCTCACCACGGGGCTCAAAACCGCTTGCCCGTCTTCCACCGAGGGCCTGAAAGGCGGGCGGCAAAGGGGAGACAAGGATTCGTGGGCACATGTTCGCGGTCTGCTTACCAAAAAAAAAAAAAAAAAAAAAAAGCTTTGTTTATTTGTATCTGATCTCCCGTGCACAGGTTTTCTACCTCAAGGTTTCTTTCCTCTGGACGGTCACGTACATTTCATACACTCGACCCTGTGGGATGGCTCCTGCCGGGATAAGAAGACTCACACCTGGAATGTATAAACACACAAAATGAAATATTATGCATTCATTTCATAATTAAAAGCAGTTTCCCAGCCAGGTATGTTTACAAGATGTCCGCTTGTGTCAAAATCAAATGACGAGCCTGTCAATATATGACAAACTGTGATCCTAAAAACTCGATAACTTCCACTAACAACCCAAGCTAAACTTAGCTCCTCCTCCTTGAGATGTATCACCACATTATACTTCCTTGACACCAATTACCGTATTTTCACGACCATTCGGCGCACCCTATTGTTGGGCGCAGTCTCAGTGACGGGTGCTATTTCTGTATTTGACACATACACAAAACGCACTGTATTATTGGGCCCAGCCAGGCATGGTAAAACATACGCCAGTTTAAACATACGGCATGCATGCACGCACGCTAAAAACACGTTAGCTTGAAGCATTCGGGAGCATGCATTCACGCTAAAACATACCAGGTATGGTAGCTTAAACCATGCGGTAGCAGCTAAGACATACGGACACACGCTAAAAATACGTTTTTAAAAAGGCAACGGAAGCAAAATGAGTTCGGTTGTACTTTATTTAGCCATTTTACAATGTACTCAAGCGACTGGTACCTGCTAGGGGTGTGGCTTTAGCGTCCTCTTACGCGCCTACCCTTCACTCATTGGCGACTGGTACCTGCTAGGGGCGTGCCTTTAGCGTCCTCTTACACGCCTACCCTTCACTCATTGGCGACTGGTACCTGCTAGGGACGTGCCTTTAGCGTCCTCTTACACGCCCACCCTTCACTCATTGGCCGACTTCCGCATGCCTGTCGTCACTCACGTCCACCTTTTCTCTATATAAACAGCGTGTCGGCCACAGAGGCGCTCTCAGTCAGGTTTTGGAACTCGGCGCATACATAACACGCACCGCATTATAAGGCGTCCTGTCCATTTTGGAGAAAATTTAAGACTCATAGTCGTGAAAATACGAAAATACTGTACTACTTTCCCATGCACCAGGACTTTGGTGCGCTCTCGTGGCATCTTTAGCTTTCTGAAAAAGACCACACATTTTTTTTTCCGTCAAAGCTTCCACAGGAAAAAAAAAAGTGAATTAGGGAATAGCGAACAAGTGAGTGTATTTTGTCATAAAAGTTTAGTGATGACAGTTTGAGAGGGGAAGTCCAGTCTTAATTCCTCCAATTTGGGAAAATAAAATATTTGGAAAGATGAAGGATGAAGAAAACGGCAGAGCCACAAATCAATAATAATGTGAGGTAAATGGAAAAGAAAGCTTTCATGTTAAAAAAAAAAAAAACATGAACTTCATATAGTTGTGTGGAAGGAATGGGACATTTCATTCGAAAATCAATGATCTCTCCCCTCGTCATGGGATTCTCATATTGCTGCTCATGGCGTGATTTACATTTTTCCATCTCCCATCGATTTCCTATGATGCCTTGTCAGAAAGGTGTTTGAAAGGATTCCCTCATGGGCACACAAACACACACGCGCGCACACACACACACACACACACACACCCCTGTGTCGGATAGCGCATTGATTTCTCCTTGTCCTTGAAGTGAACTTTTCAACAACAACAAAAAAAGGTGACAAGTCGGCTTCTTGTCCTGGCCGGCAAAGTAATCACAAGTCGGCCATGGGGACCTCATTGTGGCAAACTTTTAAAAGACAATTTTCTTACTCACAGTTCACCCCAGCAACTCCCTTAATGATATTTCATTAAGAGCTCTCCAACTTTTTGGGTCCCGGGACTCCTTACGGGGAAGATTTTTTATTTTTTTTCCAAAGACCCCTCTGATGATCCCAATGCTAATTAAAGCTAGATACCACACGTGCCCCGAAATACCACAGGAATTCAACACTTTCTATTTTTATTTTCTTTTTCGAAGTCTGTGTTTGTTAGCTTTGGGTCAGATGTTTCAGAATGCCAATGCTGGCTATCAGGTTTATGCAGATGACACACAGCTGTATTTGACAGCAGTTCAGTTAACGTCGTGTGTCACTGTCTGGAGAAAATTAACAACTAGATGTCGTCACATTTCCTTCAATTAAATGAAAAAACAGAAGTAATTGCTTTTCGCATTAAAGACAAGAGGACTGCTGTTGGAAAACACCTGGAGTATTGTGATTAATTTTCAAGGAAAAACATAACATCAATGTTATGTGAACATTGGAGAAAAAAAAAAGTCATGTTTTGAGAATAAAGTTATATTTTATCAACAAAGGCATAGTAATCTTTACCAGCACCACTATGGGTTTTTTTTGGTCGACATAAAAAGTTGTGGAGTTACAAAAATAAAGTCGGAACATTCCAATATTAAGCACCATGCACAGCCAGCCAAGTCTCCACTGTCATCCACTGGCGCCCACGTCACTCACCATATCTGTACACACTCAAAGTCACAGATATGACTGTACAATGTGAAGACGGTGACCAAAAGAAGACCAAAACAAAAACAATACCTGCACTGTAAATGTTATATATATGATTCATAATTATTTTTCAAAAAAAATATGATTACGATTTTAATCGATGGAATAATCGGTAGTATACTGTATTTGAGCTGTTTGTTGATGTGTTGAGGGCAGTCGTTCTCCAAGTGGGGTCCCCATAGTAGGTATGCACTTTTTAAAATGATACAACATAGTGAAGCAAGAAATTATTCTATGGACCCTCAAGCCACAACTCATGGACCCCCAGAGGGAACGGGGACCTCAGTTTGAGGAGCATTGACTTTGGCACGTGAACAGATGAAATATTCTCAAGTCCTCCTCCCCTTGCGTTTGTGTAACGTGACGAGGTGGCTTTTCCAAAGCACAGCTGAGAACAATTTGGCAGCAATCAAAATGAAGAGCTGAGAACTTTGAGAAACCGGAGCTTGTGTTTGTGTAACGTGACGAGGTGGCTTTTCCAAAGCACAGCTGAGAACAATTTGGCAGCAATCAAAATGAAGAGCTGAGAACTTTGAGAAACCGGAGGAGACGTCGTCGCCTTTAATGTCGCAGCTCGTTTGTCTGTGGCTGGTAGCGGTGCCAGGGGGAAAA